AGAGAGATCCATTCACCTCTGACTTTGATGCTCTATGTATTTATACAGAAACGCTTAAATTTGTAGCGTAAGTAGAAAAAGTATGTCAGTGTACTGCAAAGTAAGAGGCGGCCGGGTTGTTCAAGACAAGAAGAGAGAGCCTATGGCAAAGGAAAATAAAATTACACTTCAAGAAAATAAAAATAAAACGTGGAGTCATTCTGAGTCACATCGTGGTGGTTCAAACAAACAGTGCTCTTCTAAATAGGAAATGAAGAGCTTATATCAGTACTTTTCATCAAGTGTGTGTTAGTCTTTAATAACCGAACTGGCTGATGGCCATTACAAGTGACATAGCTGCTGCTGCTGCATGAGTTGAAGAGCCTTCAGTCTGAAGTGCATACGTAACTGTCTAAAGATAAGTATGAAGAAGGCCAGCTGTGTTATTTGTTTAAACCTTCCATACTGAGTGAGAAACCAGCACTCCACGTCCCAGAAAATTTTCCCTGGTACCCTACCTCTCATCAGGGATGAGATTCCTGTGAGTGTATATTCACTGAGAAATCTGTCAGAGCATAAATGTGTCTTTTCACAAACAGAGAATTACCCTGGGAAGACTAAACCTACTTCAAAATCTGCTTTAATTTCAACCTCAAACTATTAGCTTTAATATTTAGCTGAATATTTAGAAGTTTGAATTCACATCATTTTAACATTGCTCGCCTTCTTTTTTATAGAGGTTTCCTCTTTCCTCTACCGTAGCATTTTATACCATTTTCAGAATTTTAGATGATCTGAGATTAAGTAGATGTATCACAAAATAATGCTGGCATCGAATATACAGTCTCTCATAGTTCTTGGGTGAAACAACCCAATTTTTAAACTGGAAAATCATTACATACGCTCTTGTTCTACTACAATCATACCTTTACTTATTTTTCTAAGATGATAGATGCCTTAGAGACACAAGACAGTTATACTTAATACTTCTTCCTAATCTACCAACTGAGTGAAAATGTGGTTGGGGAAGTTGCTTTTGCTGTGGGTTGGTGGGTTTTTTGTTTGTTTCTTTTTTTTTTTTTTTAAATAGCATTACTTATTTAATGCTGAGGCAGAAATTGTACCATTTAACTGATGCTACTGATTTGCTTCAGAATAATTTCTATTAGGTATTCTATTTAACTGAAAAACTTTTAAAAAGACCATTTATTCCACGCAGACAATAGCTCTACCAGCAGCAGATGGGTTGCATTCTTGGCTTAATGGTGGAAGCAAGCCAAATGCTCCAACTCGCACAGAATAAATCCAGCATAAAGTCTCATCCCAATTAAATTAAAATCATCCAGGACTGCTGCAGTTGCTAACAGCAAGTTAGCGCTGCTGTCATAAAACATACATTCATTTACACTATTTAAAAAGCTTTTCCAAGGTAGAGAAGCTGTGTAAAAATCTTCCCAAAAATGACTGCTACTGCTGTGGCTGCCAAGCTCCAGCCCTCCTAAAGACAAGAATGGTAGAACAAACCTATACACACAAATTTTGTAATTTTAGCACAGTTTTTGTATGTTATCCCATACAAAGTTCAGGAAAATCTCCCAGGCACCTGAACAATTCCTTAATTCCCACAAAGCGAATTTGTACCTTTTATTCGAGTAACTGCTCACACACCCCAGAGAAGGGAAACCCAACCTGACCCCCACTCACTTTTCTGTGGCCCTGCGCATATTGTTGCATATGGGAGAGGAAGATTCTGTATGCTTCTCTCAAAGGGCGTGACACAGACAGCGATTTCTACAGATGCTCCACAAAAACAACAGGTATTTTGGAAAGGTAGTAAGCATCAAACTTAATTGCTATATCCCTGCAGATTTCCACTGGCAGCATGTACAGACCTGCACTAAAAAAGGCACAGAGCAACAGCAAATGTGCTTGTGTTGAAGCACGTTTCTGTATTATAGAGGCCAGGGTCGTATTTTTAAAGCTTAGATTTTTAAATGCAGTTATGCTCTTAACAGTATGACAGCAAACCCGTCCCCTGCACTCCAACAACCTCCCAATTTCCTCTTCTACCTTCCCCCAAGGCTCCCTAGGCAGCTTACTCAGGAGCCGTACCTAATAACACCAGATCTCCCAAATATAAAGAGCATTTTCAGTGTTTTTATAGATAGGTGGAACCATTTCAAGAAATCAGTCACTGTCTTACAGCCGGTGATACAAATATTATCCCTACTTCTGACATGTTATTGCTGCCTTCTCACTGGCTCAGAGATGGCCCCAATACAAGCAACAAACCCATACAGCTTTTGTCCCCAAAAGCCCCCCTCTCCTCCCCAGGCCTCCTTTAGCCCATAGAGAGCACTGTAAGCAGTCAAAACACCCCAGCTGAAGAAATTTGATGCTTCAGATGAACTTTGCAACCTCAGTTCTGTTCAGATAAAATTAAGAGTCCACCAGCATGTGGGCAGTCATTTCAGGTGTACCATCTGGAAGCATCAATCACCGTTTTACTGTCCCTAACAACAGGCATGGCTATAAAAGCTAGAGCATCTTCACTACTCGGTAGGTAATCCAAAACACTCCATTTAAGCAAATACCATGCTTTTGAAGCACAGTTACAACTGCGGGCCATCCTTAGGCTTTACATCCTTTCACAGAGATACTCTGGCCAAAAACACGATCAGCCAAGAGGAGAATTGCTTCAGATCTGTCCAAAACCATTCTGACACTGAGCTTGCGTAGCACTATCGCAGCTTCTGGTGACGTTCTGATTTCTGTCTTAGCCATTCTAATTATTAGAGCCTCGGCAACAATTTTAAATAGGATTATATTAATTGTACTAATATTCTATAGAAATAACCGTGGAATCCAGAAGTTACTTCCAGAGAAATACAGGAATATTTTATAAACCACGATAGCTTTTGTGCGCATGTTACATGCCGTTAAGAAAACGTTACCTTTCGATGGAGTGCAATGCAGGCTGGGAAAGAGTGATCCCAGGTAAAGGCTCATGTAACATGGTTTTTCTCCCGTTATTCTTACTGGACAGTTCTATGGTGTGTGGTACAGTGTGGTCTGCCAGCAGACGTGCTTGAAAAGCCTCTTCACCCTTCAGCAGTTTCCCCCATTCATCTTATTACCCATACAGATCACACTTCTCTCAAAACTTAGTTGTGGACTAGCTGCTTCCGAGTGTGCAGACTGAGGCTGAGGCTATTTCCGTAGGCCCGCTCAACTTGGGAAGACTAATACATCCTCTGAAATGGACAACTGATCTTCACTTAGGGTTCTCTCACATAAATTTAAAGTACTACACTTGAGCAGCCTTTAGTAATAAACAAAGTTTGTTACTCACAAGAGAGTTCTTAAGGCAACAGAATACATCTGATTTTATCAAAATAACCAAAATAAACTTTGAACTTCTAGGGGAAAGTCCTAGCAGTATTCTGGTGTCTAAACATTCCCATTAAAAATATTTCTCTATGTCAAAATGTAGATAGTGCTGGAGAAAAATGAGTAACATTTGTTGACATTGTTCACATACTGCCACATTTTATCTCATAACAACACAAAATCATCAGAAATTGTTTGTTAAATGTGTATTTGCTACAGTAGCTGTTAGATACACACACTGAAAAAGTTTTTTATATTAAATTCCGGTATTTGAAATAGACCTGACTTCTGTCATTGACAGTTCTCTGTTTTGAACATCTGTGAGCCTGTTGCTGCAATTTCTTAAGAGGGGAAGGATGTTTAGTCAAGCGGAGCTCTGCAAAGCTAGACAGACCAGTTTCAAGCCTTCATATTTCAGAAAGTGAGTTATCCACATGAACAGATTTAGTTACTGTATTATAGCAACAGCAACACATACCAATGCTAAAGCAATGTATAAAACTACGGTCTCTTTAAAGAGAGTGCAGTCTCACCGCTAACTTGGCTGGGAACAAGATTTCATGGCAGTCCTGACAACGTTCAGCAAAGCCAAGCAGCGTGCCAGTATGCCCAAACCTGTGTGCTGAGCAGACGAAATCAGGAGTGTAACAGCTTGTACATTTCTGTTCTACTCTTCTTTGTATTATGATTTTAAATTTGCCAACACTTCATAAGAAAAAAATGTAACTTAGATGCAGAGATTCTAGGTTCAGATTCTCCTAGGATGATTAACTCAGGATTGATACAGATAAAAAACCCCTAGATGTAACTGTCTTCAAAGATGAGTTGTTACAACTGAACTAGTCGATTAGTCCAACCTTATAAAAACTGGAACATATGCCAAGTGATAAAGGAGGAGGTCACTTTTAAGTGAAAATAGTATTTGAAGTCCGTAGAGAGGCATGCCTCTCACGCAAAAGCAAACAAGGTAGTATCACACGATAACACGTCTAGACATGCCTTTTTGCAACTCCTACAAAAAGATGTGTTTGCAAGACCCAAATCAATGGCTTCATTGACAGCATTACAATCTTCAACACCCTCTCAGAGAACTTTTCAAAATTATTCTTGAATTTTAGTATTTACTGAGCAAGACAGTCAACTTGAATTTTTATAGTATACAATTCAGATTGTATGAGGCATTGAAATAGAGACGTTTTACAACAGTGAAATATATTCAAATCAGAGCATTTTGGTTCACTTACAACCATTATTTTTATAGACTATTTTTGGATGCATAATGGAATTTTTTAGGATCATTTGCTCATGGAAGTTGATGATGGAGAAAAACTTCTCCCCCTAAATTTCAACTCCAGCCATACTCACGTTTGGTCATCCCAACACTCGTGAGACTTGTGGCTGG